CTTAGGGTTTTGGACATTAAGGGCTTTATAGGCATGCAAAGTCATAAAGTTGGAAACTTTATGACTTAGGACATCATTTTGGGCTTGAATCTGAGTTTTGGACGTAAGGGCTTAATAGAATAAGCTCTTAATAGAGTTTCAGGACTAGGCTGCGTACGTTGGGCGTACATGGTGGTACGCTGCGCGTACGCGGTCAGCGCCCCGCTTTTGGTCAACATCAGAGTACGATGGGTGTACTTTCTTGGTACGCAGGGCGTACTCCACTGGGAAGAAATATTGACATTTGGACAGTGACTATTGACTTTGACTTTGATCAGGGTTGACCAAGTTTGACCTAAGGGCATTTTGGGTAATTTGATTTATAGTTTGAGATTTGGGTTCCTGTTAAATGTATAGGTGACCGATAAAGATAGCTTTTAGAGTAGTGATCGGTGCAGCTATTCTTTCAGACTGTGAGGTGAGTCTCTTCACTATACTCGTGGATCGAAGGCACCAATACCGGCCCACTGGATTATGTTTGTAGGATGATGGTTGTCTTTGTGACACTTGTTGATATGCTTGTATGCGCTTGTTGTCTTTGTAACTCATGCTTATATGCTTGTATAATTTATGTATTGAGTTATATGGGCTTGGAGTCATTACGGACTTAGGGTTGATACGGACCCGACACCGCTACAAGTTATTATATAGAGTCATTAAGGACTCGGGGTTGATACTGACCCGGGGGTCGATATGGACCCGACACAGCCACATGTTGTTATATATATATATAATATATATATATATATATATATATATATATATATATATATATATATATATGCGGTATTTTGGGGAACTCACTAAACTTTGTGCTTACGGTTTCATATTTATGGTTTCAGGTACTTTCGGTTCAAAAGGGAAGGGCCCGGCATGACTGCACATCATCCCCTAGAGTTTTCTGCATTAGAAATTAATAATATTACTCTAATGTTTAAATAATATATTCACTTTAATCGGTTTTGGAACAACTCATCGTATGATTATTTGTTTTAAAAATGAAAGTTTTACCTTGGATTTTCGGGACGTTACAAATTGGTATCAGAACCTTGGTTTCGGGGACTCGGGCACACTCTCGGGTATGTGTGAACTCAAACTGAGGAATTGGTAACCTTTTGAATGAAAATAAGTTTCTAAAAAGATTTTTCTAAAGAAAATATAAGTTTTTGAAAAGATTTTTATAAAGAAAAAGGGGGTGTGATGCGTGCAATCAGCCGAGCTCAAGTAAGTGATTCCCATAATACTCATACATGTTGATATGATATATTATATGAATGCTTGCATGCTAGGATGAGGCTAGGGATACTTTCAGGAATTGCATGATAGATTGGCCTGATATGTTATGTCTTGCAGCCTAGGAGAATTGGATGCTATTCTAGATTTGGAGTTTGTATTGGTAGAATTGATTGCTAAGTGTATGCATTAAAAATTGTATATGATTATGTAACACCCCCAAACCAGAACGGCGGAAACGTCTGAGGGCGGATGACTTCATGTACAGTACCATAACAATTGAATATGAATGAAATATAGCACCCAAACATCATACATTACAATATACGAACATTCATTGTTTTACAAATTGTACTTGTTTAACGATTACACAAAAATAACATAAAGTAGGGTTGCTCAAAAGGTAGTAAAGTAATCCAGATCCGAGGCTCGAGTACTTGTTCACTAAGTCCCTGAGAATACAAGTCGTTTTGAAAAGTGTCAACATAGAATGTTGGTGAGTTCATAAGCATGTTTGTAGGAAAAACTTTGTAATATCTTTTCTTATAATAAGTGTAAAACTTCAGAAAATCCAATATTTCTATAAAAAGTAGTTTGTGAGTTTCGTTCCAAAACCGTGTGTATAATTGCATGCACGTCCTTTATTATCCTTTGTTTGTATTTGAAATAGTGTATCCCCAGAAAATCCTATATTTTCTGTATATAAAAGTGTTATGGTCTTAAAACCCTAAGACCCGAGTGGTGAAATCAGTTTTCAAAGTATACGAAGCATAGTTTGGTGTTTTGTGAAAACTAGTTGAGTGTAAAATTCTTCGTAAATTCCAATAATGTGGTTATTCTCTGTGTGTCTCTTCCTTGTAGAGTAATGATGAATAAATCTAGAAAATCCTATATTTCCTATATATAAAGGTGTTGTGGTCTTAAAACCCTAAGACCCGAGTGGTAAAATCAGTTTACAAAGTATACGAAACATCGTTTAGTATTTCTTTTAATAAAACTAACAAAGTAAAGCTTCCCGTAAACCAAATGGTGTTGTTATTCCCTATGTGAGTCGCTATAACCATGCTTGATATGACTGATATGCCTGTCATGACGTTTCCAGATGTAGCTTGTTTAAGGTAAGATATTTGTCACCCTAGACTGGCCTAGTCTAGCTGTAGCGAACAACTCAGGTGTGGGTTGTCAACCACGTATAGATTTTATACACAAATTCTCGCTCTCCCTCCAGGAGACTCTAGTTATAACTAACAGGACTTACCGTGTACGCTAGGTAGGTACGACTAAAGGAGAGTCTCACAAGAGCCTTAACATATTTACGTAAACTATGACTTCTCTTTCTTGTAAAACGACTTGAGTGTATCTAGTGTAATTGAAAATATTTATATAATTAAGTATTTAAGTACATGAAATTATCATGTATAGGTGTTTTCAAAAGGTTACAACCTTTAAAACTTACATCTAAACACAAGTATAAGCACTTTTCGTAAGTTAAAACAATTTTCTGGTTTTTGGCTTTTCTGTCTCTGTTTTTAGAAAAATTATAGAAAAATCATCGTAAGTCAAAATTTGGATCCGTAAACTCTGGGAGTTTGAAAATTGAGTCTACTTTGTTCACAATTTTTCCCATAATTTTTAATGGCCTCAAACTAGTGTGAAATTGTTAATCTTCACAGACTGGTCCAAGATTATCCCTGAAATAATAGGCAGTTTTGTAAAAAATTGTAGAAAAATCGTATGAACGCGTGAGAGTAGTCATTTGAAAGGTATAAACCTGCACTTTTTGCATGTAAAACAGTTTTGAAAAATATTACATTTTAAGGTGGTCAAAACAGTTCGTGAATGACATATATCTTTTCTGTGGAAGGCTGGAATTTAAGTTTATGTTATATATGTTTGCACACAAGACTTGTTTATGTTATTTTTGGAGTGTATAGCCCCATATCTACTGTTTTCAATATATGTGTTAACAACCCTTATCTCATGATTTTTATGAAGATTCATATGATAAACTTCATGTTCAAGTAAAACCCAAAAGTTAAACATACAACACAATGGTCCATGCAATTATCCAATGGTTAACCGAAACTTTGACTTGTATCCCCCCCCCCCCAAAGAGTATGAAAACATGAAAAATAGTGCGGTATGAAGCTCACCTTGGGGTTTTCAAGATGTAGATGAAGAAGGAGATGGATTTTTGAGTCCTAGCTTGTGCCTTGAAGAGATCTCGAAATGATGGTTGTTCTAAGACCCATTTTCACGGAAATGGAGTGTAAGAAGAAGGATTTTAGTGTAAACTTGGACATAACAAAAGAGTTTAACCAAAGGCTTACCAAGTTATGAAGCTTGAAAAAGACTTTCTTGAACAACACACTCACAAACCCACGAATCTTTGAAGAAGAAGAAGAGAGAATCCTTGAGTGTTGAGAGAAAATGTGTTGAAGATGAAATTGTGAATGAGGGTGGAGAGGGAGAGTGGCCGAGAGATAAGAGGGAAGAGAGGGAGAGAGACGATCATTGATATTTGTTGGTTAATCCCTCCTCTCCTAGATGTATGTAGGTTAATAAGCATAGATGTATGCTATGTAATACTGAGGTGGCAACTTAAGTCAACTAATTTTGTTTGTTTGTTTTTTTATGTATAGATGGGCCAAACGACCCAAGAGAAGTCCTCGACCCAAGGGGTGGCCCAATAAAAGTAGCCCCGACTTTCGGTTTGGCCCAATAAGTGTTTTCGGCCCAAAAGGACCAATTTGAGATGTTATCGGCCCATTAGGGCCCAATAGGAGAGTTTTGGTCCAATAAGGGATTTGGGTCGAAAATTCTTGGGCTAAGGCCCACAAATGATCGGATTTGGCTTATTGGATCGAGTTTTTGGGTCTTCACATGGTTGCTTCGACTTGAATGACAATGTACTCAAGTATGAACTTAGTATCATTGACGTTTGAATTTCACTAAATGAAATGTCACAAGATTACACAAGGAGTTTTTCTTGTACAATGGCCAATTTTTCTAACCCAAATTTGCTAGCTGTGACAGATTAGGATCATATAGCCCTAGAATGACTAATTTGGCCTTATTTCCCGTTCCTTGTTTGGTTGTGGTCTTAGGGTAGAGTCTTTTATTCGACAGTCTATTTGATCTTGTATTGTGTATAATTTGCATGCATAAGGCAACCGACAATGAGAGTGGAAGTTCCTAGCATAGTTAGTAGTAAGTGAGCTTGGGGATGTCCTTTGTTTGTTCTGTGGGTTGGAGTGTTACTGCACGAATGCTGCTTGCTTTGTGCTTTGTGGAACTCTTAGTCATGTGAGTTAAATATTAAATGAATATGTCAAGTCACATGTTGCAAAGGTTAAATAATCTCAGAGTGACGAATTTGACTCTATTGCACAGCTCTCGTTTGAGTCTAACCGTTGTAGGGTCGAGTCTGTTACTCAAAGGATTATCTAGGCTTTGTGGCATGTGATTGTATTCATGAAGTAGTTAAATGACATTATTGAGAATTCCTCAGCAGCTGATGGCAGGGTGAGGTCGGGACCTAGGAGAGCCTAGGAAAGCCTAGGGTGAGGTCGGGACATAGGAGATCTTCTTTCCAATTAAAATACCTAACAATCCAAGTTCAGAAAATAAAACAAAACTATATATATTTGACACCAATTTTGATTGTTATGTAGAAGCAAGGTGTTAGGTATAGTTGTTCGGATTTAACTTCATAGAAAATTCAAACCGTTGATTCCACATCACTATTATGTGCATGTATTTATGAAGATCTATGTAAGACGCACCTCACCATCTTAATCTTATCTTTGATATGCCATTTTTCACGAACAAGGTCAATCATGGAAACCAAAAGGGCCAATGCCATGGACACACCACTGATAAAAAAGAGACCTCGAAGCCCATAAAAATTCAAGATTATTGATGAAGGGGAAGAAAAATCCTTTGACATGAATATAGATTCACGTTTCAACCATTTATCTTCTAATGCTTTCAGTGTCCCGTCTTCGCGCATTTTTGCTATTTGAGTGGACATCTCTCTGGCCAAAGGTGAACCTTTTTGGAACGCCTGCAAATATAGTTGAATGAGGAATGGAAACGGGATCAAGGTAGAGTTATGAAAGAAGCAAAAAGGATTAGAGAACACTCACAAAGCCAAAACCATTGGTGGTGGGTGCTGTTGCGATCAATGATATATCAGAATCAGGATACATTGCAAGAAATAATTTGATGTAAAGGATCTCAGCGATGATTGCTTCAACTCTTCCACTTGCTAATGCTTCAACGTATTCCTCAGGTGCATATAGTTTCTCTGACCATGCATCAACAGCATTCAATTTGTTATTGACAACTCCTCCTAGGGGCGAAATAGCCTGGAAGAATCCGGTAGAGAACTCCTTCATCCCAATCTGTTGTACAGTTAAAAGTGAACTCAAAGTTGCAGTGTAACTTGACGTGAGAACAAGCACTACAAATACCCAAACAGTAACCACGAATTTTGTGTTGGAAGAAAGAAAGACTTAAACAAGAAATTCTATTACAGAACAGAGAGAACAGGAAAAAACTCAAGAACAAATTGCTGTGAAGAGATCTCTTATTCAATATTCTGCCCACATTTGATTGAGTACACAGCCATATAAATACCAAAAAAAAAGAAACTGTCAAAGCTAGAAATAAGCAACTGCTAATACTAATTTATGGGTAATCATGTACCACTTATTTGAAACAAAGTAACAGCTAACCAAAACAAAACTGAAATCTTAAATGCTAAGTAGTGGGACAGAAGCTACTGGAAGTTTTGAGCACCATTATTCAACACACCCCCTTGCTTCAAAACTTGTTACTCCCATACGGAACCTGAAGAAATTATGCTTGACACTTGGAAGAGACTTTGTGAGCACATCTGCAACTTGCTCGTTAGTTCCACAATGCTTCAAAATGATTTCTTTCTCAGCAACTAAATCACGAATAAAATGGTAACGGATGTCTATGTGTTTTGTCCTGCTGTGGAAGGATGGATTCTTTTGTCATTGCAATTGCTGCTTGATTGTCACAAAAGATTTCTGTTGGGCCAACTTGCTTTTGGAGAAGATCTGCAAGTATCCTTCTTAACCACACAGCTTGACAAGCCGATGATGTTGCTGCAATGTACTCTGCTTCTGATGAGGATAATGCTACAATATCTTGCTTTTTTGAGCTCCATGAAATAGCACCTGTACCAAGAGAAAAAACATAACCAGAGGTGCTCCTTCGATCATCCAAACAGCCACCCCAATCACTGTCAGTAAACCCATATAATTTCAGATTAGGTACACTTGAGTACCAAACCCCAAAATCAACCGTTCCAGCTATATAGCGAAGAATCCTCTTTGCTGCTCCTAGATGATGAACTGAAGGACTATGCATAAATCTTGAAACTTTGCTAACCGGAAATGCAATATCAGGTCTGGTGTGAGTTAGGTAGTTCGAGCCTCCAACTATACTCCTGAAGTGTTTCACATTTGCCAACTTTGTGCCATCATTTGCAACAAGTGATTCATTCATATTCATCGGTGTTAAACACGGATTCGCATTCATCATATTGAATCGTTTAAGCAAGTCAGTGGCATACTTTTTTTGACAAATAAAAATTCCATCATCACATTGGTTCACCTCCAGGCCAAGAAAGTAACGTAACAAGCCCATATCTGACATCTCAAATTTTTTAATCATCGAAGATTTGAACTCAACAACAATAGATTCACACGACCCCATATAAATAATGTCATCTACATAGATGCAGACAACCAAAAAATCACTTTTACCTTGCTTTTTCACATAGAGAGTAGGCTCACTTTTGCTTCTATCAAACCCGTTTTCTTGAAAGTATGAATCTATCTTGCTGTACCACGCTCGGGGGGCTTGCTTAAGCCCGTATAAGGCTTTTTTCAACCTGTACACTTTGCTATCATCACCACATGAAAATCCTTCTGGTTGAGAGACATACACTTCTTCTTCTAGCTCTCCATTTAGAAACGCCGATTTAACATCAAATTGGTACACTTTCCATTTTAATTGTGCGGCTAAGGCAAGAAAAATTCTAACCGTTTCAAACCGAGCAACCGGAGCAAAGGTTTCTTCGTAATCGACTCCGTGTTGTTGAGCATACCCTTTCACAACCAAACGAGCTTTATGCTTCTGGATTGTACCATCAGCATTGTATTTTGTACGGTACACCCATTTGAGGCCTATGACATTTTTTTCTTTGGGCAAATCAACCAAATCCCAAGTCTCGTTCTTTCTAATAGCCGCAATCTCATCTTTCATTGCATCTTGCCACACCTGTTTCTCTGCTGCATCATCATAAGAGATAGGATCAGGATCAGATGCATATAATGCAAAGCTACATGAAGCATAGATATCCTCCAGTGATCGAAACTTTTTTGGAGGACTTTCAGATGAAGAGCTTGAAGGTGAAGAAGATCCCGATGGTGAAGAAGGTGGAGTTGAAGGTGGTGTAACATTATCTCCATTTTGAGAATTGCTCGTTTCTGGATCTGTGAAGTTATTGACCTCAAAGGTAATAGGAACAGATTCTTGTGAGGCCGATGTTTCTGTATTCTTCCAACTCCATTGTTCTGTTTCATTAAATTCAACATTCCTGCTTATAATAATTTTTCCACTAATTGGGTTAAATAACCTGTATGCTTTTGAGGAAGTAGAATAGCCAATGAAAATGCATTTTTCTGACTTTTGATCAAGCTTGGTGCGAGATGATGTGACTAATGCATAAGCAATGCACCCGAAGATTTTTAAGTGACTTACTTGCGGCTTTCTACCTTTCCATGCTTCATAGGGAGTTCGATTTAGAACAGCCTTTGTAGGCGAGATGTTCAAAATGTATACAGCAGCTGCTACGCCTTCAGCCCAGAATTTTTTTGGAAGATTTCTTGCTGCCATCATGCTTCTTGCCATGTCACCAATGGTTCGGTTTTTTCGTTCTGCCACTCCATTCTGTTCTGGAGTGTGCGGTGCAGTAAATTCCCTACGAATACCATTAAACTCACAAAATTCATTAAACTTTCGTGAGGTAAATTCACCACCATTATCGGAACGAAGAATTTTTATGGTGTTCCCATTCTCTTTCTCTACCAAAGCCTTAAATTTTTTGAAGCAATCAAAGGTTTCTGACTTATTTTTTAAGAAGTATACCCAACTCATGCGGCTGTAATCATCTATAAACAATAAGAAATATCGACTTCCACCAAAAGAATCAACAGTCATTGGACCACAAACATCGGTATGCACTAATTCAAGACAAGAAGAAGCTCTCCAAGACTTACCTACAGGAAACGATTTTCGAGTTTGTTTCCCATATACACACCCTTCACAAAAATCCACTGTATCTATTTTTGGCAGCCCTAAAACCATATTTTTCTGATGTAACAATTTCAACCCATTTATATTTAAGTGACCATAACGTAGATGCCAAATGCTTGACTCACTAGTAGCAACTAAAGCACACTTCTTCATGGTTGAAATTTTAAGTGGAAACATTCTATTTTGTGTCACTGGAATGTTAGCAATGGACCGACCAAATTTTTTGTCTCTAATTAAACAATATCCATCATCAAAAGTAATCGAATACCCAGAACACATTAATTGCCCAACACTTAGCAAATTATGGGCTAATTTAGGAACATATTGCACATCATGAAGAAGTTTTGCATTACCTTGAGTGGTTTTGATGGAGACTGTACCTTGACCTTGAATTTGCAATGCATTGTCGTCTCCAAAATGAACTACACCCTTTTGAGTCTCATCAAGATCTTTAAACAAAGACTTTGTTCCTGTCATATGGTTTGAACATCCGCTGTCCACAAACCACACACCATTAGATGTATCAACTGTGGAAGAATGTGCCATGAATAGCTTGCTTTCCTCTTCAATTTTTTCTAAAAAGTTTGCATGATTTTGTTCTTCTCGTTTCTTGGTCCAACAATCAACTTCTCTGTGGCCAAGTTTGTTGCAATATCGACATTGGGGGTTCTGTTCTTCTCTTTGCTTGTTCCAACAACTAGCTTCTCTATGGCCAAGTTTGTTGCAATGTTGACATCGAGGGATGTTTTTCTGTTGGCGTTGATCACCAAACTGAACTCTTCCTCTGCCACGACCACGAAATCCACCTCTTCCTCGTCCACGACCACGTGAACTTTCTGCACTTCGTTTATTCTGATCCCCAGTTGCTTGAAACGCCTTTTCATCGACTTTCTCACAACACCTGTTCATCCTGTCTTCATGAGCTATCAAAGAACTCATTAGTTCATCAAAAGTATAAGTGGACAAGTCCTTTGTTTCCTCGATTGCAGCCACGACATGATTGAAATCCTTGGTCAAACTCCTTAAAACTTTACTGACTACGGTTTCATTGCTAACATTTTCACCGTATGACCTCATGTGGCTGACAATTTCAGACACTCTCGAAAGAAAAACTTGCACCTTTTCCTTCTCTTTCATGCCCAAGGTCTCGAATTCACGACGAAGAGATTGTAGTTTGACATTGATGACTTTTCGATCACCAAGAAATTCTTGTTTTAGAATTGCCCATGCCTGGTTCGAGGTTGTTGCTTCTGCAATACGTGGAAAAAACTCATCATCCAATGCTGATTGGATGAAGAATAAAGCCTTTGCGTCCTTCTTTCGAGTTTCTCGTAATTGCTGATCTGGTTCTGCTGGTGCCGGGTTTGGTTCTGCATACCCATTATCCACCAAATCCCATAGCTCTTGGGACTTCAACATTGTCTTCATTTTGAGACTCCAAAGGTGGTACTTCTCCCCTTTGAAAACTGGAATCAATGGTTGTGCTGTAGAACTTGTACCATTGCTTGTCATTGTACCGGCTCTGATACCAATTTTGTTGGAAGAAAGAAAGACTTAAACAAGAAATTCTATTACAGAACAGAGAGAACAGGAAAAAACTCAAGAACAAATTGCTGTGAAGAGATCTCTTATTCAATATTCTGCCCACATTTGATTGAGTACACAGCCATATAAATACCAAAAAAAAAGAAACTGTCAAAGCTAGAAATAAGCAACTGCTAATACTAATTTATGGGTAATCATGTACCACTTATTTGAAACAAAGTAACAGCTAACCAAAACAAAACTGAAATCTTAAATGCTAAGTAGTGGGACAGAAGCTACTGGAAGTTTTGAGCACCATTATTCAACATTTTGATAGATTACTTTGCAGTTTCTCCCCTGCAGTTTTCAATTCCCAACAGATCTAAGGTATAGATTTTATGGGTGCTCAAAAAGATTAAATCTTTAACCAAATTGAGATTAATTAGATAAAGAGTTGGAGAGCATACTGTGAGCATAAACAAGGGTTGAAAAGGCAAACCAGAGGGTTGTTCCAATTTGCTGTCTTGTTGAACCTTGAAATTCATTGTTTGTACGATGTTCTATAAACCAAATCACAAACCCCAAAAAAAGAAAGAAAAAAGCACTTGTGATCCAAAGATCTGCACTAAGAGGATCTAAAAAGATCCACATGCTGTTCTTGGCGTTTTGGGCTATTATGCCAACTCCTAGATCAGTGAAGGGCAATGTGAAGTCAACGTAAAGAGATCTATTTGGTGTGATTGTTATATCTCCAATAGCAGCATCATATTCCTGGTAAAATTAAACCGACATCATATTAGCAAAAAGCCATCTAGATTCATCCTGTTCTACAAATAATGGTACGAAGTGACCTTTATATATAAAACTGCGCAACGTACCTTAAGATAGATTTTTTGGATCACATCACTGTAAGTAATTCCATCCTTATAAGAGAAAGGAACAACCTCAATCCCTACTCCATAGTCCAAGGCGTTAAATGCAGCATTGAAAACATCACCACAGAAGCCACTTGCAGTCGATCGATTTGTTCTTGGATCCACACTTATTTGTGCTATATTTTGGAATCTGCTGGAACCTGGAAACAGAATTCTCAGCTTCTTATTGCCATTTGTTTGTAGCTTTCTACGCTTTGGAAATGTTATAGTCCCACCTGGCCAGATAATAACTTCAAGGCCTTTTCTATTGGAAGAGGAATTTGATTTCTTTATTTCTTGGGAAAACTCACCCGTAGCCATCATCCAGAACCCGACTCTCCTACCACCCTTACCAATCACATTTACGACTTCCATGGCTTTGGAGATGGTTCTTCCATTCTTAAGCTTGAATTCACCACCTAAACCATGGAACTTGACTCTTGACATCTCATCCAAAAGTGATGTGCCAATATTGGTACCCAACTCTTTCGAAGCTAATTCTGAAGTTTGTACCTTTTCAACAGCCATGGCTAGAGCGTAAGCTGCATCATATGCCCATATACCATTAAAATCTACCTCCTTAAACTCCATAAAAGGTTCCAAAACATAATGTTCCTTTCTCCATTTTGAAACAAAGTTGTGGATCTCCCTTGATGTTGGAACATACGATCTGAAACCCACAGCCCCCTGCATTGATTCCATTGCTTCAGAATCCATGGAATCCAAGTAGTTTGTAGTCTTACTTGTTACAATCCACATGTATCCTTCACCCATCATTCCCAGCTCTTTTGCCATGGAGAAAAGATTGGATGCTAGAGAAGGTGATGTATGCATGACAAACACCATGGCTTGCATAGTTTGAAGCTTACGAAGCTCTTCCCACATTTGTTCATTGTTGGAAGAGGCTGAAATGAAGCTAGTATACATAACATATATGTTTTTTTCTTGAAACGCAGTAACCATATAACTAGTCATTTCTCTCCCATTTGCAGTGTCCTCACAGATGACAATCACATCCGTGGATTTAAACGACTCAACCATCGCAGCAATGGCTTTGAACTGAGTGGTTTCATCTTGTGAAATTTGAAGAAGATAAGGATTACGATTTGGAATGGGACTTGTTGAAAAGGAAAGAATTGGTATGTTAGCCTTGTGTTCAAAAACCTCCAGAATCTTGCTTCTGATTCGGGACCTATTATCGCTTGCACTTTAGTGTTCTCCAAAAGATCCAGAGCTGAACGTCCATGAGCACACTAGCTATATTAGTATTCAAAATTAAAGTTTATGATAACTAAGAAAACACTCATGAGTAAAAATAGCAAAAGAAGCAGCACCAGCAGACAAGGCACGCAGTGGTTCTCCTTTGGTATCCCTGGTTGTAAAAGCTATTCTTGTTGTGTAGTGAGGATTGGCTGTGTAAAAGTCAGAAATAGCCATGCTGATGCAACGATAAACGACCTTCCCTGTCCATGATTCCATGTCAAGAATCACTCCCACTTGTACTTTCCTGTAAGACGGATCTTCATGTGCTATTGAAAGGCTTTGAAAGCTAAGCAACATCAAGATTAGAAATGGATATAACCAGCAGTTCATCATTGGCAACAATTTTTTTTAAGTTTTTAGTAACATAAAAGATGACAAGGTAACACTTTCAGTAGGTAGGTGGGGAAAGAACGAATATGGAATCGAACATGAACGAACAGGAGTAATATATGAGAGCTCATTACTTAACTTTTAAGTTTGAGTTACGTCGCTATATATGAATTATGAAAATATCGACATTGATAAAATTAAAAGTTAAAACCTGGTCCGTACGTGTTCTTTAGTCTGAACCGTTGAATAATAGGAACAAAAGTCTACTGATTTGGTCAGACTTATCAGCATCAGTGGGAAGCTGCATAGAAATAATATTCTTTTAAAATGTATTAAATATAATTAAAAATTATATTACTAAAAATAAGAGAAACCTTACGATAGTAATTTAGACACCTCACACCTTCTTGAAAGCGAAGATTCAGTGCGTATAGTGGCCACAAGTTAAAAACACAATACACGTACAACAGATCTTGATAGACATACATACACGGAATTTATTCAGTGTTTAACATACACGGAAATTATTCAATGCAACAAACACGTAACCAATTTTCTTCAAGTCTTATTTTGCTCATGTATTTTCTCTTGAGTCAACAAATTCGTAGGCACAAAGAAAAAAATCTTGCTCAAATCATGAGCAATATTTGTACAATCCTTAATGCATGAGTACACTACAAGTTCATATATAGTAGCATCATTTTTTTTGTTATAGCTTGTTATAGAAACTGTGATTCCAAGTATCATAGTATCATTATCGTCTTTGTTAGCTTTCTACAACCTAATAAAACTTGATAAAACCTAAATCATACCAAAAAAACTCTCTACCTTGTCATAGTCTTCTTCAGGCATTTCATTGAACAGTTGCTTTGCATCTCTAAACTGGCTACATAACCTGTACACCAGTAAAAACAACATTAGGACTCATAATCTCCTTCAGGCATTTCATACAACAGTTTCTTTGCACAGATGTGGGATGTAGCTTTTAGATTCTTCGCATCCTAATTCCTAAATATAATGGGACTGCAGGTAGGAAATTTGAGTGAGAAGTTTCGTGATCCACATAATTAGTAACTAATTTTACAGGCACCCTAATTTTTACGGTTCTGTTTTACCTCGTTTGTTGAGGTTCTTCGCTACTAATTTACACAGGTACAGCCGAAATAATACATTTTATGTTTGCTAAGAAAGGTATAAGTGTTTGTATGGATTTGAGTTATAGAAAGGTCATACTTTTTCTAAAAGACTAAAGTCATATCATTTGGTGTGAAAATTAAAAAAGTAGAGTTAACTAAAAATTCAATTTTCAAAAACTAAAAAAATAAAGTTGACATAAACTCGAATTTAAAAGACTTAAAAAATAGAGTTAATTTGAATTGGATTTCGAAGACTTTCAATTTTTGTGTGGTCTGCCGTTAAAGAAAGAAAAAGAATAATAATAAAAGACTAGAGTCATATTCTTAAAACTCTTTTGGTTATAAATGCATACAAACATGTTTTCACTTCACTCATTGTGTAAGATTTAAGCTCACAACGTTTTAAATTTTAAGTTCACGAACATTTTAAATTGGGAAATTCAGTAATCTAACTCACACAGCAAGAAGAGTGAGTATAATTAGGAACGACACTTTTAGCGACGACCGTACCTTTAGTGATGACATCAGACGATACACGCCTGGTGTCGCCGCTAAAGGCTCTTATCGTCGATAAAAGCGTCGTCACTATAAATATCCACCGGCTATCAGGCAAAAAAACACTACTTTCAATCTTGGCCCTACATTTGCAACATGATCCAACGGATAGGGTTCACTCTCATGGAAGTAATAGCAACGACAACTTTTGCGAAGATGGCGTCGCCGCTATTGATTTCGATCCGCGTTACCCACGTGACAAGCGATCTTGGCCCTACGATATCGATCTGATCCGACGGCCAAAAATTACGAGAAAATGGCGCGTTCATTTCCCTCCAACATGTCTCCCCTACTGCCGCAAAAGGTTAGTCCCCTATTGTTCCACTTCGTCCCCGATCAACTACTCCACGCAGCCAATTTCTCTCTAGAATTCTATGACGGCGACACCGTATCTCCGGCATAATTACAACGTTTTCCACCTTCGAACTCCTCCGACTTGCCTCCACCTCCAACTCGTTAGACTAGTTCATCTATTTTAGACGACCGACATCGATTTCCGGCAACAGGGATCGATTTTCGACGATAACATTTCTTCGGCATCGATTTTTGGTGACAATATGTCCTCCTTTCTCTTTCTATTTTGACATCGATTCCTCTATTTATTTGTTGAATTTTGCCTGATTAAGCACCATAACAACCACAATCGCCACAACAAAGCTGTTCTCCGACGACCACCACTACTACAACACCACCAGTTGATTTTTCCAGCCACAAGTGTGTTTTCCGGCATAAATTTTCTATTATGCATGTATGATGATTCATTTTATTACTCTATCAACTTTATATGAAAATTGTGTAAGAATTGTATTTGAATTGAAAGTGTTATATGAATTGTATATGAACTTGTTATATGAAATGAAAGTGTTATATGAATTGTATATGAACTTGTTATATGAAATTTATATATGAATTGAAAGTTTTATATGAAATTTGTATATGCGTGTTGTTACATGAATGTTGTATTTGCAAGTTCAAAGAATCGGATTGGTATATATATACATGTATTGTGTGGGTTTGGTATATGTGTTTTTTGTATATGATTTTTCTTTGACAAATTTTTAGGTTTAGTTGGTCAAGTTTGGTAATTTCATAATATAACTCAACAATTTTGACAATGATATATATATATATATATATATATATATATATATATATATATATATATATATATATATATATATATATATATATATGTGTGTGTATGTGTGTGTGTGTGTGTGTGTTAAGTGTGTATATGTGTATTTGTATGCATGTAAATAGAAATTATGTGTATATACGTAATTGGTATATGTATATGTGTATTTGGTATGTATGCAAAAGTTGTATGCTATAATTGACAATGTCATTAAAATACAATATTATAATTGAAAACAGCATAAGAAAAATCGTGTAAATAAAAAATATATATGAAAAAATACAATGTCATAATAGAAAAAAATACAACATAAGAAAAGATGTTAAAAAAAATTAATTATTTAAAGTACAACGCTATAATAATAAAAATAGAAAAGATGCTATAAATATGAAAATTGCAGCCTAAGAAAATATGTTAAAAACATACAACATAAGAAAAAATGTTATATATATATATATATATATATATATATATATATATATATATATATATATATATATAGGCTTAGGTTATTTTGTTTTTACTAACTATTGTATGCCAGAATGCACATATCTGAACCACCGGATGAATAGAATCAACAGTTATGATCTGAGGGTCTATGATATTACAATAGAGTAGCATGTATCATATAATCACACAAATTCAAGCAAAATGGTATTTTGGTCAATTAATCTATATTAAAAAAGGAAATTTTCGGATTTTAAGGGATCATTAATTCCCTTATTTTTAAAAAAATCTAAATTTTTTAAATTAATTCTAATTAAAATTTAATATTATTTTTCATAATAACCGATTTTATTCTGTTAGAATGACAAAAAGTCAACAATAAACTAGTAAATATATTTGCGGTTTTATTCTTGCATAATATGGTTTCATTCAAGATACTTTTTATCAAGAATAACATTTTCTAAAGAATACGAATTTTATTTTTTAAGAATCACTATTTACATTCATCCATAAAGAATAAGACTATAAACAATTATTACATTCATTCTAAAAAAAATTATGACTAATAATGGTTTAAGGATTACATTTATTCTTAAAGATTAAAACTAAAAATGGTTAAAAAAGAAAAAAAAAACATCAAAATCTAACAAAAACACTAATCCATTCTAAAAGAATAGTATTGTTAAGAAATACTTTATACATTCTAGCATAATACATTTTGCAAGAATACACTCTAATTCTCCATGTTTTTTCCCCTTTTCCACATCAATGGTAGTCTCTTCAAAACCTAAATCCACAAAAAAAAAAAAAAAAAAAAAAAAAACATAATCAACTTTCAGATATTAAAATATTCAAAGCATTCTAAAAGAATAAAAACTATAAATTCTGATAGAATGTAGTAGACATTAAACAATTGTAATTTATTCTAATAACATGCATTACTAGTTATTCTGCTAGATTAATATACTATCGTTATTCTAATAACATGCATTACTCGTAATTCTGCTAGAATGCACACAAGTTTTAACTTATATTCTAATAGAATTTATAATATCTTTTTTTTATAAAATAAAAACACCAAAATGCATTTATATAAATAAATTCTGACAAAATACAAGCCAGTATACTTGTTGTTAACAAACATTCTTAAAGACATTCTTACATAATGCATTTATATAAATAAATTCTGACAGAATACAAGCATTACCTATTTAACGGAAACGATATAATAGAGAATGATAACATATTCTACCGGAATGTTTTTTAACTTTCCTATCTAACAATGTTTTTTACTTTCCCTATCTTGACAAATAAGAAGATTGAAATCAAATTCTCACAGAATAATAAGCATTCTGAGAGTTTTGACTGAATACATACAACATGGCCAGATTCTCTTTCAGGCATTTCCACAAACACCTTTTGTGCACACATATAAATAATAGAGAATCAAAAGCTTAAAGTATAAAAAAAAAACAAATATCCTCATTGTTCTTCTGATGCGAATTTAAGGGAGTGTACAACTCAGCAAAACTTAACATCCATTAAAATAGGTTGTTTCATCAATTAGGGTTTAAGAAAAAAGGGTTAAAGTATAATCGTTGTTACCTGTATCGGTTATCTTTATCTCACTTGTAGGTGAATTAAGTCTGGTAAAATCATCGTCAACTGCCTCAACACCTTGATTTCTATTTCTATCGTTGGGATCCTCTTTTGGAATTTCATGATGTTGCACTTTCATCGGCGAATACTGACTCGTACTCACACCGCCTTCTAACCGAGACAGATGGCCACACAATACGTCAATAATTGCATTC